TATGTACAAACGCTGTAAGTGACTTATCAGATACTATGTACAAATGCTGTAAGTGACTTATCAGATACTTATGTACAAATGCTGTAAGTGACTTATCAGATACTATTTACAAATGCTGTAAGTGACTTATCAGATACTTATGTACAATTGCTGTAAGTGACTTATCAGATACTTATGTACAAATGTTGTAAGAGACTTATCAGATACTTATGTACAAATGCTGTAAGTGACTTATCAGATACTTATGTACAAATGCTGTAAGTGACTTATCAGATACTAATGTACAAATGCTGTAAGTGACTTATCAGATACTTATGTACAAATGCTGTAAGAGACTTTATCAGATACTATTTACAAACCTGTAAGTGACTTATAAGATACTATGTACAAATGCTGTAAGTGACTTATCAGACACTATGTACAAACGCTGTAAGTGACTTATCAGATACTTATGTACAAATGCTGTAAAAGACTTATTAGATACTTATGTACAAATGCCTTCCGCTGACAGAGTAGTGTGTTTATAGTGCACAGACACTAGTGGTGTTCCGATTAAAGAAATTTGTCGATTATAGGTCTGTTAGACACTACACTGACTAAACTGACATGGAAACTTTCCTTTAACCATGTATGCTTACTGTATGTCAGGAAACTGTCGCCATGTAACATATTCACCCTTCATCTGTAAAATCTCTATTCGCCCAGCATAAATGTCACCCCTCTCATGTAATTTTACGGTATAATGTATACTTATTGTGGTCCTGATTTGCCCTCATTGTAGAGCCTGAAAATTGCAAAACCCTTTCACTGTAACTTTAGTAGACTCTACCATGCATTGATCTGGATGAGTCCATTATAGTCTACAGTGGTGAAAGGGTTAAACTGCGGTAGAAGTTTCCTGGTATACAGTATTTATGCTATTTATTATCATAAAAGACTATTTTTGATAAACTTGTTTCCACACCTCGTTGAAGGGACTTGTGAATATCTGTAAATATCCTGTACACGATTCATCCCTTTGGTGATAATAGGTTTCTTCACAATAAATATCAATGTTTCTAGATTTTGACAAAAACTTGTAGTTAAGATACCATTTTCTATGAATTGGCATTGTCAATGATATGTGTGATCTACATTAGCTTATAAGTAAATGACCAGAGTATTATAGCTAGAGACGTTCTAGTTTTGTTTGACTGGAGTACTATAGTTAGTGACGTTCTAGTTTTGTTTGACTGGAGTACTAAAGTTAGGGACGTTCTAGTTTTGTTTGACTGGACTACTATAGTTAGTGACGTTCTAGTTTTGTTTGACTGGAGTACTATAGTTAGGGACCGACAACATTTTATTGGACAATGTGGTGTTGACAATGTTTTATGTATGACGATGTGTTTTGTTTGACAATACTGTGTTTGGTACAGTGATTTGAAATGTCTGTGATATTTGTAAATTCCATTTGCTGTGACAAGAATTGGGTTCTGATGGTAATTGTTTTACAAACACACTACTTTTGTGACAATAAATTGTCTTTATTTGCTTATAGTGTCCTGTGATATTTTACCATTCATTTACATATATATTACCAACTACAAAATTAACTTTTGATAAGATTAATATTTAGTCCTAGTTCACTTCATTAAATAAATGAAAACTCATCAAAGATACACAGTTTACCATTTCAAAGCGAATAAAAGACTGAAAGCTAGCTCTTAAAACTAACTACACACCAAACCGTGCTTTAACTCCCACCAACACGAATTATCAACACTCGAACTGAATTTGCAGTACCAGAAAGCCCTTGGAAACACAAACTTACCATCAATATCCCTGAAGCAAACAAATTAAAATCAAATACCTTTGCTGAGAAAATAAAACTATAACTATGTCAGAAAGTCACCCCATCATTCTGTATGATCATTTTCCGATAAATCATTGACCAAGCTACAACGGATATATTTCCACCCGTCAATCAAAATGGTTAAACAATTACCAGGTGTAAATACATACATGCTGTTCAGGTAGCCATGACAACACATCAAATTAATAAGAAAGGATGTCGCAAATATTATGTTAGCGTTGACTGACACCTCGAATACAGCGAGATCTGCGAGCTGACACGGTCACCTGGCATGGGCAGAACAGGTAACGTTAATTGGAATATAATGATGTTGTTTTCACAACAATAAGTTTCAGAAAAGATTCAATCTTATATACGGATAAAACTATTTTTTGTTATGAAATACACTTTTCCAAGTAGTTTTCTGATCGTCTGCAAATCCGACTGAATCAGTCATCGATATCGGCAGAATGTGTATGCTTAAAGGTAGTCATTCCGATGAGGACTGCCAACAGCTGAATTTGCGAGATATGAAGAACACCAAACAATTGTGATTTCAACAATTCTCCTTCGAAAAGAAAAGATCAGAATGTTTTTGGCTGTTTTGAACCCGTTGATATTTAATTTTCAAACTCAAACTTTTATCATTATTGGTTCATTTCGTTATGTTTCCCGATATGTGGTATAGTATTTATCAATTCACAACGTAACGTCCTGAAAAGTTGAGCCTACTTTACTCGTGCTTATTTATCCGATTCTATAGTATTATATATGACTTAAACTTGCAACTTTTTCGTAATTGTCAAATTGGCAATGCAATCAGGGATTATTCAACAAAATTTAGCAGTTTTATTGCTGCGAGCATATTTCAAAACATTTCTGAAAAATCCTCTAAAAATTATGAGAAATGGTCGCGACCAAGGACTGATTTTGGATTGTTCTTGAGTATGGTGTACACCCCTTTCTTGACACTTCATTTTCCCCTTAAAAAAGTGCACACTATACGCAAATATAAACGGTAGTCGTTGGTCAGACATAAAATATCTAAATCAGTCGATAGCAATTTATAATACGACAGTGCACATAAACCTAGACCGTCCTTATAATTATAAGTTTAGTATAATCTTTGTAGACTAAATGGACTTAACCCTTTCACCCCTATGCAACTTTAGTAGACTCTCCCATGCATTGGTCTGGTCTACAGTGGTGAAAGGGTTAACCAATGGACAATTTTTGTACTTGACATGACGGTCAAGCTGTTTTACTTATACTTATAATATAGCTGTAACATTTGAAGAAGGTGTTGAATTTTCAAATGAAGATGACTCCTGTGACTTCGAAAGTAGTTCAAGGTCATTAATTAGAGGAAACTTAGTATTTTCTTCAATCCAGGTAGCTTTAAATAGCGCAATATCACGATCCTTATCATTCTTGACTGTTCAAGATTATTTTCAGAAGTTCTTTTACTAGTATAAGCCTATCAACAATGGCAACTTCAGAACAAATGAACGGTAACTTGAGGAAACTTCATACTCATCCATCCAATATGACAAACCAGTGTTTTTCTGTTTAAAGAAAATTTGAAAAGTGACAAACCATACCAAAAGCATGGAGAAATTTTGTGCCAGGTAAGCTACAAGCACTAAGAAACCATGGGGTACAAAAGCTGAGGAGTACACATCTCATAAGAATCTGTAACTTATTTGCCAAATGAAGGTAATTGAAAGATAGAGTAAAACACCTTGCTGACTGGTAAATATCTATAGTGGTTAAATAAGGAACGCTCACCTTCTGTCTCTGCCTGGCGTTTAACATGGCCTATGTATGTAAATAGTTAAATAAGGCTCACCTTCTGTCTCTGCCTGACGTTTCACATGGTCTATGTATGTAAATAGTTAAATAAGGCTCACCTTCTGTCTCTGCCTGACGTTTCACATGGTCTATGTATGTAAATAGTTAAATAAGGCTCACCCTCTGTCTCTGCCTGGCGTTTCACATGGTCTATGAATTTACAGCGGGCTGAGAAGAGTCCACCACAGGTTGGACATGCTATCACCTTCTCCTGTGTGTGGCTCCGTAGGTGTTCCTTCAGTCGCCATCTATTTTCTGCTACAAAGTCACAGGCTGGGAACAAAGAAGTGGTTAATGTTATTTGAGCCTACAATCAAACGTCCAAATTCAATCCGTTTCATATTTCACTCTCATTAATTATCACGGTTAGTTATTTAGATAGCATTTATATAACTTCATTCAATCATTTTGATGTTTAGTTATTTGAATCTTTTTATATTTATATTTATTTCAATCCAACAGGCCATAAGGCCCACTTACAGGTTGATACCAAATAACAGTTCGCAATAAATTAAATACTACAATATCACAGACCAAATGTAAAATGATCAAACAATACATACATAATACATACAATATAAACAGACTATGTGTAATGAATTAAAAACAAATCTGTTTTTATTTCTGTTTAAACGTGAGTGATTCGCTAAAAAGACTACCTGGCTGAACATTGAGGAAGCTAAAACTTTTCTGACACCTAATTAAAACACTGTGTTTCCTTACGTCAATACAACTCTTGGTGGGATAAAAACACACAGCACAGCTGGACCTAAGAGAATTGTTTGGAACCATTAAATTTGCGATTTCCTTCATTAATTTACAATAGATAAAATATTCATCCTCAATATCTTCAACCATTATCAACTTACTATAAATAGAACATTTTGTTGAATAACTTTGATCTTGAGTAACTTACTATTATATTTAACTTTGATCATCATTAATTTTCCATACAGAATATTTATACTCATCAATTTTTATAATTAGTAATATACAATATACATAAAATATCTACATCCTACAATTAGTGCGAGCAGATGTTCTTTTTTGAGAAAAACATTCCCAAGTGCTGGGGAATAGGAATCTGCTTCTCATACTGACAACCAATGATAATGAATGTGTCATGCTACCGGTAGGTGGTATACAGTAGTATATAGATGATATAATTCTATCCCCCTGCAGTTACTCACCTTCCCATTCACATTTAGCATTTGATGTGGCAGCATTTTTACGGTTTGATTTCTTTCCTTCCGTACAGTTGTCAGCGTGATTATCTACGTGGCGATAAAACATCTCGGGGTTGTCCACTACTGCCTGTGAGAATAGGAGTGATTTAGGAGTAAATTATACACGTCTTGATTCTTCATTTTGATATTCTCATAAACCCTAAGACACACTGCAGCAGAAGCTTGCTAACAAGTAACAAGATTTTTTTTTATATATATATGTAAATATTATCGTATTTTGATATCTTCATAGAGGTTTATATCCTGCATTCATTATATATTATGGTTTACAGAGGCCTGGTGCTTTTAACATTTGTAAACCCAGAAAGGTGACTTTAAATTCTTTGTCTTTAGCCTGAAAATCTTCGTTGATTCCTTATAATCTGTGTTAACTTTTTAAAACAAGTGGCGCCCACCATTGTACCATCTTCATTAGTTCTATATTAGTTTGATCTTTTCTCTTCTTTTCTCTAAACTGTTTGATGAGTCCTGTATACAGTAAATGCACCTTGAGGTAACTTTTGATCTAAACTTCATACTGCTGTGTATAAAAGACAACCTTTCATATGCGTTTGTAGTTTCACATATTTACTAGTACAGTATTTAATGTGAGAGAAATAGAAGCGATCATTGCAATATCAGAAAGATCTGTTTAGTTCTTCCAGCAGCCATCTTGTTTTTATGATCACTCTTAAAATAAACAGGCACAACTAAGGACCAAGGGGAACTTGCATATCAAATTTGACAAAGACATACATGCCATACCTTTCCGGTGCAAAATAGTGAGATCAGTGATTATTTTTAGCGAGATTTGGTCAAAAATAGTGAGATTTTTTCTCTGAATTCGTGAGACATTTAAAACATAAATTATATAGCATATATCATAGTATTGAATCATTTGTGCTATTCTAAAGCCTCTAATTACTTTGTTAGAGCCAAAATTGAAGATTTATTGATATTTTAAAGGATTTTAGGAAGGTTTACACGTGACATACGGTCCAGATAATGCTATCAATATTTAAAAGTAAATATATCACATAAAAGGCAAAAAATAATAGTAATTAAAAAAGAAGAAATTCCACAGGGATGTCCTTATTAACCCAGGTTAGAAAAAATATATCACAAAACATTGGGAATATTTAATTCTAATTTGTTGGGGAAAAAATAACCAATAAATACTACTTTTATATATCCAATTCTGAAGAAACTTGTTTTCTTCTGTTTATGTTATTTTCATTAACACTCAATCCCATCCCGACGGCAAGAGAATGAATTCCGGGTTCGATGTCAGTGTCCGGTTTCGATTTTATAGTCACCTCCAACATTTCCGTTTCAGTATTAACAGCTCTGACATCTCCTTATGTTGCTGTTTAATGTTAATATCAAGTTATCAACTGTCATCACATATTAATTAGCAACTAGCCCCCACTGGATATGGGATCACTGATTTAATTGCTTAACAGTTCACACATCGGTGAGCAAGTCATCAAGCCATGCCCCGCTAAATCGGCTGGCCGGGCCATTCAGAACTTTCACACCTATATATATATGCTGCTAATTGGCCTGGCCTGTGATTTAAGTGGCTGGCGTGTCACTTCAGACCTCGCGATGACCAAGGTCAGTGTGAATCCATGTAGCTATTGTTTATTCACTAAGATTGACCAAATTTGTTTCTTTTCGTGAGTCTCGCGCCTAAATCGTGAGATATGGCATGTATGCAAAGATCCCTTAAGTACTTTCTGAGAATTAGCAATAACAAACTTTAACTGTCAAAATCCAAGATGACCACCTGTCAACAGTTATGTTTAATCATGCTCAATAAATGACCAAGGAGAACCTACAAAACAAATTCTAGAAAGATCCCTCCAGCACTTTCTGGGAAATAGCGATAACAAACATTCACTGTCATAATTGGATACACCATTTATAAAGTATATCATATTAGCGAACAGAAACAGAAAGGAATTAATTTGTTATCCCAATTTAAGTATGAATTTAAAATGTTACATACCAAATATAAGAATAATAGGAAAAGTGCAATCAATTATTTCATCGAAAACTTATGAATTTATGTATAATGTATATAGATAGAGTGATAGATGTATGCCATGACATGAATTAAAAATGTTACATACAAAATATTAGAATAAGAGGTACAATCAAGTATTTCATGGAAAAAATATGAACTTACATATAATGTTTATGGTATAAATGAATGAATAGTTGGATATGTGAATGGATAGATTTATAGATGAATGTAATGAAAGATGAAGATGAACAAATGGAAAAAGTAATGAGTAAATGTAACATGTACTTGAAATAATGAATGGATAAATAAAAAATAAAAAAGACAACAAGCATTATGATGAACATTTCAATCAAGACAGCTCATTACAATGACCAACACAGTGGTGTTTTTTTTTTTTT